GATACATGTTATTTATTTATTTTTTAAACTTGGGGAATTTGTACAAGTCTGGTGTTGTAATAACGGTGAGTCTATATTAACGCACAGAAATGGAATATCATTCATATTCTAATTTCGTATATATAACATAATATTTTATATTTGTACATACAGGTAATAAGGTGGCAGCCGATTGCACCACAGATTCGCATGTGGAGATATTATTAGTGCCATGCTGCAAGCACGTTGCAGGAGCCTTGATTTCCAGAGCCAATGAATTATATACGCTCCCACAACCTTCGATACCCGGTAGAAGAAATATACGATTTCTCTCCGTCTCCTGTTTCGTTGGCATTTCTAAACAAATGTCCGAATTTATATCTAAATTGCTTAATAGCCGAATAAATAATTTTCCACCTTCCGAATCTACAATGTCGTTAGTGTCCTCTGCAAAACGTTTGTCTTTGTCGGTTATATCTTTTAGTTTTGCAAAAGTGAGATTTCGAATATCTTGCGCGGTGAGGAAAATATCGGATTCCCGCTCTAAAGTTTGTTTGATATCCACCGCCATCATCGAATCCATACCGAGCTCAGACAATGGGGTGTTTTGTCCAATCGTTTTTAAATCTTTTATCCCTGTCATAAACAAAATGAAATATTGAAAGATGTTGATTGAACGTAAGCGGTTAATTATATGATTACATCAGAAACGAGGAAATACTTGCTCACAGTTTCGTAAGTTTTTGTAAAATATGTTGAAATTAAAAGATATCTCCATGAAATAACTTAAATGTACATGCTTAATTGCTTTATTTTACTCATGAAAAAACTATACCCATGATGTTCGCTACAGCCTCTTGAACATTCATAATTCTGCCAAAGCCCGCGCGCTTTTCAGCCACAACCATACTGCAAACGATCGGTCGATTCAGCATCAAAAAGGTGTCCAGTGAATCAAGACAGGACTGTATTCTTTGCTGCAGTGTACCGCCGATGATGAGTTCCTTATTGTTCTCTTGCATGTCGGCAACAAGTCCAACATCACCCACCGCGCCCCATTGTATAGCCATTCCGGGTAATCCGTCTTGTACTCTTCTCTCGCATATTCTCTCCATGATTGAATTAGCCATTCCATAATTAGTTTGCCCAGCGGTTCCTCGGCCGCATGAGACGGACGAAAAAACGACAAAATGTCGGAGATCGGGGCATATTTTCCTCGAGACCTTGTCCAACATCTTTGTGGCCATTGCCTTCGGCTTGAATGATTCTTTGAAAGATTCTGCGGTTTGGTTCTTGTAGATAGAATCTCTGAGTACAA